ACCCCAGCAGCCTCTTTCAGCCGATGGGTAACAAATATGACTTCTCAGCCGAAGTCATAAAAGTAACAATAAGCCTACAGGCTACAGATTTGATGACTTTCTTTCCAGCATCACAGCTCAAGACAATATTGTGATTTTTAGCAAAAAATTACTGGAAAAACTGTTTTATCCTAATCATCTTGCTTTCATTATCGGAAGCCAAAATCTTAATTAAAATTAAAATCCAATTAATCTCCGTGCCCTACTGCAGCGCATGTTCAGTTTTCATCTCCGAGTCAGACGCCATAAACTGTCTAAGCAAGTTTTTTGGGAGCTGCAGGGAGTCGCATGTTTCCCCAAATCTTTCCAACAGAGGTGAAGACAGAAACACGAGCACAGAGCCACAGTGGACACATTATAAATTAACCTGAATTATCCTTCCAGACGACTCTACTCAGACCAGAGACGCTGTGTGTGTGCGCTTTGATCTGTAGCTTTGGGCTTCATGTTGTGTGTTTGTTTCTGCAAAACCCTAAAATAATACATTTCAAGACCAAGTATGAGAGCTCTTCATCGTGTTGCCCGTCACATGTTCATCTACGCTCCTTTCAAGTATTACAAGTCACTCTGGGAAATCTGCCAGACATGAAAGAGCTGACGGCTGATTTATAAAATACATTTCGTAGCTAATTGCTGATGTGAGGAGCTAATTCTGACATGAGATGTGCACAGCACTCGAGAGCATTTCACACTCATCTTAAAAGAAATACGTCAAGTCAAAAGAAAACACATCTGAGAGGCTGTGTGACGTTTTCATCAGACCGATCATAATCACAGGCAGTTAAACTGACTGAATAATCCACCTCAGGTGAGAGCGTCTCCCTACAGAGTGACGTGTTTTTGCTTCTTTGCTGTTTGTTGTTGCTCCTCACTAAACACTTCGAGAAAACACACCTTTTTTTTTTTTTTTACAAAGGAACCTATTGTGAAGGCTAAAAGCAGGACACTGGGTGAGGACATCACTGAGGAGGCCTTTCAGTGTCACACACTGAATCTTTGTGCACTTCTGCTTCTTTTGTTGACATTTTGAAGGTAAATTCATTTTACATTGAAGAAAACACAAAATGTTA